AAATAAATAAATGAAAAACCCTGGATTGAAACATCTAAAGGTTTCCGGTCATTGCACAGAAATTTAAAAAAATAGACAATTTTGAAAAAGAATTAAAAAAACTGCAACACTGAAAATAATCCCAATTTTTATTTTTGCCAAATCGTTCAGCCCTAGCCTTGACATGATTTATTGGATACACCCTAACCCCATTTCACTAATTAAGGTTTGTGGCAATCCAGAGTAAGTTCTGAAGTAAATTCCTGCATACTCTCAGCATGCAACTATCCTGCAGTCTAGCTTCAGTAAAGGATGGTGGATTTTGCATCTGCTTTGCATGTTGTGAAAAATCAGGGTTATTTAGCTTAGAACACTGTTTTCTTGGGAGAACTACAATCTCCAAAATGTCTGCAAACATAACAAAACTTAGATCTATAAATACCCAAATAGGTTGGTTGCCTCCCATATGGTTACTGGACTGTGTGTAATTGTGTTTCCAACTTTATTCTTTAGCAACGTGAAGGAAATTTCCAGCATGTTTTTCCTGCACAAATACGTTTTTTTTCTGATTAATAACTTACTGTAATCAAATGAGTTTTTCAATGAATAATAGATATTTTTATGCTTCCGTCTATCAGCTATCTAAAACAATAAATCTTTTTACTTTCCGAACTTAATCTAGGTTCATATGTTAAAAAAGTCTGCATTTCAATATTGTGGGGTACCAACTAGTCCACCATGACTGGAGTAAGAGTAGACAGAAGGACAAGGCCACAGTTTGTTCTGGCCTTTTCCTGTCAGGGCCTCAGTATGTTTATGCTGTGGCTTTGACACCCATTCAAGCTTGAAGAACTGAAATAAACAAACCAAGACAGCAACTGAAAAAATGTCACAGAAGTGGGTGTCTGGTATTTTTAGCACATTTATTTTGTAACCCTCCAACTTTAGTACTGGTCTCACTGTATCAAAAAAACATTTTTAAGCACAAACGGCAGCTTTAAGATTTTTACACTCCCAGAGCTTCCCAAAGAACTCCCTAATTACCATTTTCTGTTCCAAGGCCATGGTGGAATGTGATCCAAAATGGATTACGTTCCCACTCTACTCGACCAGTCTCGTTTCCCTCCTTCCTACTATGTTTGCCCCTTTATTGCCTTCATTCCCTTTTCTTCTCTACAATCTTTGCTCCGTTTAATGACTTACACATGTCAACCAAATTGCCTCCTGCAGCAAGGCAGTGACAAAATGTAATATACTGGTTCTTCATCCGATTCAACAGTCACAGTCTTAAATTTACAGAGCACGACCCTTTGCCAGACCACACGTCAGGATAACTCATTTAGCTGCTGCTTTTATTCCTAATTGCCATCCTTTATCATAAAAAGATCCATTCGAGAAACCATTCTTTTGATTAGAGCACCAAAATATCAGCAGTCTTTTTCTGTAAAAATCAAACTAACTTTAGATTTGTTTTGTGAAAGGGAGAAAACATTTATTGTTGGAATCTCCCCATGTGGTTTTCTACTTTGTTAATATTTTTAATTTAGCTTAATATCCAACCCTCTACAAGTTTCCACCTCAACGTACCTCTAACCCCTAACCCTCTTGATACATAAAGCAATGTATGATAGAAAATCAACTTATATTTTTTTTCTCCCCAATATTTATTTGTAGGTTTTATTCAAATCCCTCATTTAGATATAATGTATTCAACACTGCTGCTGCAAAATTTTGAGCTTTACTTTAGAACAAACCAAAGATATACATAGATCAGGAAAAAAAAATGTATCACCCATTTAACAACCAGTTTGAATTGGAAAAGCAAGAACAGCCGAATTTCATAAGGAAAGGCCTTTCAACAATTTAAAGCAAAGTTACACTAAACATTACAAGATAGCACCTAGTTAGCCCCACCATGAATATCAGCAGAAAACTCTGTGTTACCGCTTTAATATTTGCATTAATTAGAATGACAGAGCAATGCTCAACCTTGTTTGATTTTAAAATTTGCAATATAAATATGTTCATTATGGCCTCATTTGGGGTAAACACCAGAGGCAAGAAGCAAACCATAAACAAAAACCCAAAGAGAGTAATTTTATAATTTAAACATAAAGGGTAAACCAGTTTAGAATGAGCTTTGACTGCATGCAGTGAAACTATATCGTCATTTATTACAGGCAAGCGTATCTGAAGAAAACCATTTTCTGCCCTTATGATGATTTTTTTTTCAGCCCCTAACAAAATCAAAATCAAAAAATAGTTTACATTTTGCCCAACATACACTTTCTAAAATATCTGTCACAACACAAAGTACGTCCTTTATATATCAGTAAATTTTTCATACCAAGTAAAGTTTGCAACCGAACATGGGATAATACACAAATAATAAAAAAATTATCTCATTAAACTGAAAATACAAACCATGTATTATAGCTAAGCATAATAAACTATTATTTTTCGAAAAGAAGACTTTTTGCAAAATGAAACCAGGTGAAACTAAACCTTTCCCACTTTAGGAGTTCTGGATAGAGCATATTGACCGATGAAAAAGTGATTTTTTATCCTAAATGCAAAATGTTCCCATATTTTTTTTTTTTTTTTTTACAATTTTGGTAAAATTGCTCCTCAAGGTGGGTCGCTCTGTCAGCTAAAGGCACTTTTAAGTGTCTCTATACTCCAACTAAGAATTAATCAAGCACTAAATTAGTTGCCGATTATTTCAAAATTTGATTAATCGAGATTATTACGATTAATTGTTTCAGCCCTACAATAGGCCCCTATTTCCCCCCCCCCTCATCCAACAAAAAAAAAAAAAAAAAACACAGAACCAAGAGAAAATTAGCAACTGTACTAGCTGTATTTTTTATTTTATTGATGTAAAGTGAGTTGAAGATAGCTTGAAGTAAAATGAACACCAATTTCCTAGTTTGACGCGGTAAAAATTTAAATATAGTGTTTACTAACTCATTTCCAGTGTCTGTTCTGATGTCATTGACTCAAATATAAACAATAATAGAATTTGTTTGGATTTTTCTTTTATTGTTCTTTTTTAAAACATTTCATTTTTGGAAAAACTGCATTTGATGCTAAATTTCACCACCCAGTTGTGTTATTTTTGTTTTTCTCAGTGTTTGTTTGTTAATGGACATAAACACAGTGTTTTCAAACATAAGCTTAAAGGAATAGTACACCCAAAACATGATTAGCCTTCATTTTCTACTCACCTCCATGCTGAACAACACTCTGGAGTACTTTTTTGATATCTCAAATGCATCTGGAGATCTGGGAGGCTTCTTGCTGTCTGCTGACATTCAAATAATGGAGGTCCATGGCGCCCGAGACAGAAAGGTCCATAAAAGTCCACAAAAACGTGTCAATATTCCTCCATACTGCTCGTCCAATGTAATCCAAGTGTCCTGAGTGGGTAGCATCCAGAATTTACTCGAAACGAAGTCATTTAGAATGTTTTTAGAGCATAAACAGTAGTGTATAGGATTTCCTAATAGCGCCCCCATGCGCGCTCACGATTCTACGGAAGCCGGCAGACCAAACCGGAAGGAAGTGCGCATTCAGCGTCTGGTCTGCCGATAATGCAAGCGTAGAAGAAGAAATGTGCTGTTTACCTGTGCAAAGAAAGAAACAACGAAAGAAAAATGTCTGAGGACTTCAGTGTTGAGGAAGAGCATGAGTTCTTTGCCGAGCTGAATGCGCTGGTTTGGTCTGCCGGCTTCCGTAGAATCGTGAGCGCGCATGGGGGCGCTATTAGGAAATCCTATACACTACTGTTTAGGCTCTAAAACGTTCTAAATGACTTCGTTTCGAGTAAATTCTGGATGCTACCCACTCAGGACACTTGGATTACATTGGACGAGCATTATGGAGGAATATTGACAAGTTTTTGTGGACTTTTGTGGACCTTTCTGTCTCGGGCGCCATAGACCTCCATTATTTGAATGTCAGCAGACAGCAAGAAGCCTCCCAGATCTCCAGATGCATTTGAGATATCAAAAAAGTACTCCAGAGTGTTGTTCAGCATGGAGGTGAGTAGAAAATGAAGGCTAATCATGTTTTGGGTGTACTATTCCTTTAAGGTTTAAAACAAACGCTCAAACTGTAATTTAAATTTTAATAAAATACTTTTTAAGCAAAGGGAAATCCTAAAAGAGTTTTGTTTAGGAAATGTAAAGAACAACAAACGGTTTGTGGTGCTTAGAAGAAAGGTGCGCATAAGGGTGTGGATGCAGGTGCGCGTCTGATATCCAGGTGATGGAGGCTGTAGCTGCTGTGATGTAAGCACACTTGTACAAGTCATCAACAATGGCTGAACCAAGAAGCATAGCCCTCAGGACACGAATACCGCAAAGCAGCTGTAGCTTGAGCAAAAAAAAAAAGAAAAAAGGAAAGAAAATGTGTTTTCCTCCATGATCTATCCAGTGGGAGAACTCCAAACAACAAAGGGAATATAATGCCTTTTGTTTCTGTGAGCTATATTTACAAACTTGAGGGGGCAAGTCGTTCTCAAGCACGATCCCATATGTTTTACATTATAGGTATATATAAAAAAAGGATACTTAGTGAACCATAACCCAAAGACAGCAAGAAACCTCGAATTACAGTTAATTCACCTCAATAAATGAGGGTCCAGCCAGGCTGAAAGGAATTTTATTAAATACTCTTAATGGGACCTTTTCATATTAAGTAGAAAATTATATAAAACAAATCCCAACAAGTTCTCTTTCTAATTAGCTACAGTAATTTATCTGACTTTTAAACCCACTTAAACATATTTCAGGTGATGTCCATAATAAGAGTTGCAAATTGTGCCATGATTTCTGCGCACTGGTTAAAGGGATCAACCAAAGTTTGTCCAATGTAATCGAGAAAATGTTACAAACTATCCCAAAAAGTTAGCAATAAACCATTAAAAGAGTCAGAAAATCTCAAGTTAATTACTGACCAGACTTTAAAACACCCCCTGAGCCATGAAAAAAGAAGAAAACGCAGAAAACGTGGCTTACCGTTTGAGGAGAAGCTTGAAGTCTGGTCTATATAGTTGAGTCAGTCAAAGGTGCTGACAGAGAATGAGTGAGCTGAGATCCAAACGGCGCTCCGCCCGTCATACAGGCGCAGAGCGCACCGAGAGCTTCATTATGCTCTGCTGGAATGTGATCCCAGGGGCCTTTATTTTCTCATAACAATCCTCTAGCTCTCCTCTGCTTTTTTCCTTTTCTTCAAGGTGAAAAATGTAAGTATTTGTTCGGCCCCTAAATATTCCGTAGAGTTCAACTCCTCCAGCTCAGACAGTGATTTGTTAAACCCACCACAAGTTCTAGCAAAGGATAATTTTCCCACCGCGCTGTGGAGACTTTTTTCCTCTTAATCCCGCCCCCTTTTTCCTTTACCTCCCCTCTCTGAGGCCTCCTCCCTCTGCCTCCCTCCATTTGTTCTCACCATCCCTTCTCTAACAGCCATCCCCCACAGAAGAAACTAAACTTTGGTCGTTGGTTTAACAGGGGCGGAGCTAGATGGGGGGCCATGGCCACCCTTAGCCAATCCTTGGCCACCCCTACCATTTATTTCTCTCTAATACAGATGGTGGCAACAATAATGCTCTCAAGTGGAATATTCAAAACTTTACATTTTTTCATATATTAACAGTTACTTGACAGCAAAAACACTTTGGTTAATAATACACATCAATATACTAACATTAAAGAAGATAAGTACAGAATCCAAGCAGAAATAGATTTTGTGTTTAATGGGGTAAAGAGAAAATGATGTGTCTCTGCAAGTCATTTAGTTTTCAGTAAAATCATAGATACATATCGATAAAAAAAAAAAACTTTGTGTAGACATTAGTACTTATCAATTTAAATTTTATGCAGAGTAATTACTGATAAAAGCAGCTAAATAAAACTCAAACCTAAAAGAATTTGATCCACTATACCTTTTATCTAGAAACCACAGATGTTTGAATATATTCGCCTATTTGTTAGCAAAGGCTGGAGGAAAGTATAGTTTGTCCTTATTTAGAAAATAAGGATGTTTTGCTTGTTGATTTTCCTGTTGGAAAAGTGTAGATTGACTGAGAGGTTTTGGTGCCTATCTACTTTCGGCCACCCCTCAGTGTACATTGGTTATTGCCTGGCCACCCTTATAAAAAATGTTCTTGCTGCGCCCCTGGTGTTTAACCTTTACTAGTTATGGTACATCACATTATAAGATAGTTTCTCATCTAAAATGCTTCATACATGCAAAACAATATAAATTTTTTATTTTAAGTAAAAGAGCCATTAACATATTTCCATGTTTATGTTTTAAGCAAAGTAGAATACAGTTTACACAACAAGAGTAACTGAAATGATCTGAAACAATCTTTTTTTTTTTTTGTCAAAATGCAAATGTCTAATTAACATGAGACACTATCAGGGATAGAAAAAGACAGCGGCTGGCAATGGAAACAAAACTATATTAAAGTTGTTTCTACAAATAAAATACAACAAAGAACAAATAACAGTTTTTTTTATGACACAGTGACAATTAATGGTACAATTTTATCCCTGAACACAATGCCTGAATTTAACATTTAATCATGTTTTTATATAACACTGGCCTTATGGAAGCAAAAGTGGCAAACATAACAATATAAACAGTACTTTTAGTTTTTAGGCTTAGTAAACATTATAATGTAAAGTGTGTCTTTATTTAAATAAGTCAAATTTTGTATGATCACAAAAGGAAACAACCGACCATGGTTAACAAAACAAATTTGGCATTTCTTTTTGCAAAACAGCATAAATGGAAGCACAGAATGATTTGTTTCCACCTAAAATCAGAGACAAACCAAAAAATGCTATTCGCAACTAACAGAATTAGCCTATCTAGTTGTGACCATCATTATTTTAATTTGATTAGTGTCTTAACTTCATCCAACTCTCGATCTACATTGTTTTTTTTTTTAGAGTGTAAAATGATCTAGCATGGGAATTTGTCAAACAATGTCTTTACAATGGTACATATAGCGTTTACATTTAGTTAGTTGTCAGAACCTCATTTAAATCCCATATCAAAGAAGTTTCTAGAATTTCCTTCTTTCATCTGAGGAATATTGCAAAAATTAGAAATATCCTGTCCAGGGGTGATGCTGAGAAACTAGTCCATGCATTTGTTACTTCAAGGCTGGACTATCGTAATTCTTTACTATCAGGAAGTCCACAAACTGTAGTTAAAAGCCTTCAGCTGATCCAAAATGCTGCAGCCAGAGTTCTGATGAAAATGAAAATGAGAGATCATATCTCTCCTATCCTGGCTTCTCTTTATTGGCTTCCTGTTAAATCCAGAATAGAATTTAAAATCCTCCTTCTCACATATAAAGCCTTAAATGGCCAAGCTCCATCTGATATCAGAGATATGATTGTTCCTTATGTTCCTAACAGAGCACTTTGCTCTCAATCTGCAGGTTTACTAGTGGTTCCTAGAATTTCTAAAAATAGAATGGGAGGCAGATCTTTTAGTTATCAAGCTCCTCTCCTGTGGAACCAATTACCAGTTTTAGTCCGTAAGGCAGACACCCTGTCTACTTTTAAGGCTTTAAACTTTTTATAGTTAGAGTGGCTCAGGTTATCCTGAGCTATCTCTATGGTTATGCAGCTATAGGTTTAGAATTTTGGAGAACATAGGCACCCCATTTCATCATTCTGCTTCATTCTCTCTCTATTCTCCTACTCTGCAGAATCTGTTAGTTCAATCTCTAACGTTCTGCTCTCAGAGCAGCTTTGCCTCGTCTGTTCCTGTTTGGCTGTGACGCCATCCTGGAGAGAAACATCAGCTGTGCTGCTTCCATCAACACCTTTGTTTATTGATGCTGGAGATCGGCCTGTTTTCCAGTGTGGTCCTGTTTCTCTCACCGTGACTGGCTGGATGTGCTCTCTTTGTCCTCTGGCATGGGAGCTGGCTCGGAGCTCGTCTGCCTGGCTGTGTGTTTCCTGGATGGGGCCGCCTTTTGCAGCTGCTTTTTGTGTCTCTGCTTCTGTCTCCTTGAACCCGAGTCGGCCTCAGCAGATGACGCTCACACTGAGCCTGGTTCTGCTGGAGGTTTCTTCCTGTTAAAAGGGAGTTTTTCCTTTCCACTGTCGTTACAAGCATGCTTAGTGTGAGGGATTGTATTTGAGTCAATGAGTCAATGCAATCAACTGGTTTTCCTTAGACAGAAACCTTTGATAAATTTGACTGTATGATCTGGTTGAACTGTAAAGTGCCTTGAGATGACGTGTTGCGAATTTGCCGCTATGTAAATAAACTGAATTGAATTGAACCTTACAAAAGCAAAACTACTTTAACAAAGGTTTACTTAAATGGAGAGTGGAGGATGTTCTTTATCCGGGTGGATCATCAAAATAAGCAGTCCTCCTAATTGTCAACCATTCTGGTGATATGTTGATGTAAGGCTACGAGCTCGTCCCTATTTTCACTTACCGGTGGTGAGTCTGACATAGTGGAAAAAATGTAAATCTACCTTTGGGAAGTACTCTTTTATGAGGGATGCAAACAGCAACTTTAAAACAGAGAGTGCACATGGAGAACTGGGCTCACACACGTTTAATAGGTGTTCCCTCTCCGGAGCGGGTACAGAGTTGTGCATGTGCTTTTTTTTTTTTTAATGGAGAGGGTGGGTCTTTTCAAAAGTTCACAAAAATCTGAAGTAAAAAGTTAATCTAACAAATAATTCAACTAAAAGAAAAAAAATCTGTTAAATGAAAAATTGTAAAAAACAAAAAACAAAAAAAAAACCCAAAGAATTAATTTGTAAAACACGATGGGCCAATAAAAATATTAATATTGTGGTATTGGGAGTGTGGGCCTAGTGGTTAGAGTAGTGCGCTTGTGCTCTGAGAGGGGTGCAAGTACCCGTTTCAATCTCCAAACCCTTAACCCCACACTGCTCCCCGGGTGCCGCACAATGGCAGGCCACTGCTCCCCAAGGGGATGGGTTAGAATGCAGAGCGTGACTTTCCCCATTGTGGGACCTTAAAGGGGTTTACTTTACATTTACATTTTTAAATATAGTCCATAAAATAACGTACACTAAAATAAAAGTAATTCAGGCAGGGGAACCAGATTTTGAAACTTATGCTTTCATAATATAAACCTTTTAGGACAGGAAGGTTATTCAATATGAGAACTAACAATACTGTGAGCAACCCAAAAGGACACAGTCCCTCATTAAGTTATTGTAGCTTTTTTTTTTTTTTGAACACTGCAAAGTACTCCCAGAGATAATAGAATCGCAATACCTTGTATAAATATATTTATCTGGGAAAATGACTATTTTTGTATGTTTAATGTTTTATAACTTTCTTTTACCTGTGTTTAGTTCCTTGTTAAGCAAAGAATTACCTTGGATAGGCATGGTGTAACAAATTTTTTGCCTTAATAATTTCTTCTGGAAAGATTTACTTTATATGTAAATTGTAAATTGATGCTAAGACATGTGTGAGAACTTTTTGAACCAGTTTTATTTGAATTTATGACAAATCATACAGACAATATTTAAAGTAAGTCGTTTTATTTTCCAAATATTCAAAGAAAACATCAGTAGTTGCCGACCACAAAAACAGACAATAATGTGTATGAATAAAGCTTTATAAATGTTGCTAAAAAAAAAAATCAAATAATGAGGCTAAGTTTAGTAAAAAAACAACAAAAATACAAAGAAAATAAAAGACTTTTTTGTCAAAATTACTGTTCTTCTCATAGTCACCTCTTTTATAAGCACATTACTCATGCCACCAGACTAGTACATATTTAGTAGAACTTTCTGCAACTACTTAATTTGGATTGCAAGTGTTAATAGTATTTTACTTTTTTTTTTATTTGAACAAAACATAAGCATTTGCAGTAAACAATAAAACATTATTTGCAAAATATATATGAATTAAGCTACAACAAAGTACACAAAAAAAGGAGTAGAAAATGATTGATTACAGCTATACTGGGTGCGTGAAGTTAGTTTGAACAGAAAAAAAAAACAAGACTAAATTTATAATTTTAACATAAATGGTATGTAAAAATTATTTGTAGCAAGTTAAAAACATGTTACTACAAAGATGTCAGCTTATATCACAACTACAAACTACCCTACCATAAAGAAATTGAAAACAAGCAAATCTTATATAAATCTAGACTGATTAACATTGAACAATAAACTCAGCTATGTTTAAACATAAAACATAATAAGAAAACAATAAAATTGGAAAACAGCTCAATAATTTGGTTTGCATTAAGCGTGAGTGTTTAATAAGTGGTACTGTTTGAGGAGAAACTGTAGGAGTAACTTGAGGTATAGTCAACACTGCCCCTACGAGATCCACTCCTCGAACCAGCCCTGGAACCAGAGCGAGATCCAGGGTTTGAGACATTATAGGGGCTGCTTATTCCTTTGCTGGAGATAGACGAGGCCTGCAGCATCTTCATTCCATTGCCTTCCTCCACCATGCAGTTATCCATGGCTTCTTTGTAGGAGATCTTCAGCTTAGTCTTAGGACAGGTCAAATTCTTTGGTAGGTTCCGGGATTCCTGCAGCTTCTGTGCCCCTTTACCATCTAGCCAGCCTTTCCGGATGGCCTCTTCAATGCTGATGCGACGCCCTTTGTGAGGTTCTATTAGGCCTCCTGTCAAATACTGAAACTCCATAAATCTCTGGCCTGCCTCATAAGGAAGCCAGGTCTCCTTTACTGCCTCAGCTACAGAAAGCTTCCGTTTGGTTTTCAAATCCTCAAAACCAACATAGGCTTTTTGGGCTGCTTTCAGTTTAGAGGCCATGTTTTCATCTAGGATGCTCTGATGGACTGCATCGTCAAGTGAAAGACGGTCACCGGTTGCAGGGTTGATGATGCCACCTGTGCAGGCCTGAGCCTCCAGCAACCTTTGTGCAGTAATAGTGTCAACAATACCTCTTTTGAGAGCTTCAAGAATAGTTATTTTCTCTAAAGTCTCTGTGTCAAATATGGCTGCTACAGGGCTTTGGTCATCAAACATTCCAGGGGGAGAGACTGTAATTGAGATGCTGTTGAAGCGTTTACGAACAGTAGGAGAAGATGGAGTGGCTTGGGTGGGGCTGCTGCATGTGACCATGTCATCAACACTACTGGTTGAAATAGTCATTTCAGTGCTGCTGGTCCTGCTAGCAATTTTGTCAGCTAACTCAGTCAAAGTTACTGTTCCAGCACGGTACTGATCCAACATCTTTTGGTCAATGAGAGCACGGTCTATGCAGTCCTGAACGTCATACTGGGTTCCAGTTTTTCGGTCCACAATGACCAAACGTGCAGTCCCATCTGATCCAGTGATAGTGATTTCCTCCCACTCACATTCCTGCTCAGAAAGGTCCAGGAATGTTTCATAGTCAATTAGCTCCTTGTGATAGGCCTCCCTGACTGACATCTCAAGCCCTGTGTCTGGATCAACAATTACAACACGCCTTTTGCGTAGCACATTGGTGCGACTTTCCTGAGTTTGCTGAGCCTTTTTCTTGTCTTTGAGGGGCAGGAGTATTAGGCCTGTTTTGGCATCTTTGATGCATCTCTCCTTTAGTTGAAGATAGGTCAAGTTCTCCTTGGTATTAGGGTCAAAAAATCCTTTTGTGTCATCCCCTTCATAAGTTAAAATCTCATTCATTTCCTCATCAAAATATCCTCTTTTATAGGCAACAGAGACATCAATACGGTGGCTCTCAACTGGGTCAATAATTCCACCGCTTGCAATTTGGGCCTCCAGCAGCCGGATTCCATGACCTCTCTCAATAATATCTTTCTCAATAGCCTGGAAGAGGGAGATTGTCTTTCCTGTACCTGGATCTCTGTATCCAGTTACTGCCTTCTCTGCCGACAGGAGCTTATTCTTGAACTCCTTCCCTACAATGCCTCTTTTTGTAGCTTCTTCTACAGTTAGGAAAACATTGTTAACTGGATCTACAACGAAGCCTGATGCAGCTTGAGCTTCCAGAAGCTCTAAAGTGGTTCCTCTCATTAACAATCCTTCCTTCATTGCCTGATACAAAGGCATTATCCTGTCATTGGCCTCATCATAGATACCTGCAATACAGGTCGAGCCATAGAGATAGGACTTTAACTTGTCTTCTATGTCTTTTGTGGTGATTTTACCCTGATTGAGCTTTTCCACATCAGTTTTATCCAGCAGCTCAGATTTAACTAGTTCATCGATAGAGACATCACCACGGAAACCCTTCACTGTCATGGGCTTCTCTGGACCACGAAGCAGGAGCAAACCAGACACCGGTTCAGCCGTACACTTCCTTCTAAGGTCACTATATGTGACCTTCTCTTCATTTGCTGGGTCCAGGTAGGCAGTAGGCCTTTTATTCAAAGCCCTGTATAGATCCTCGTCTATAAGATTCCGATCCAAGGCAAGATCTTTTGGAAGGAACACACTTAGAACAGGGTCTATTATGCCCCCAACAGACTCCTGAGCCTGGAGCAACCGGATTGCAGTTTCTTTGTCAACGTGACCCTTCTTACAGGCCTGTCCCACAGACAGCACCTTGCCGGTATACGGATCTTTAAACCCTATGCTAGCGGCTTCAGCTTTTAACAAAATATCTCTATCTTCTGTATCTACAATCCCTCTTGAACAGGCAGTATCTACAGGCATCCTTTCATTAAAGGCAGGGTCCACGATGTAGCCTGTTGCTGCTTGAGCTTCCAAGAGCATGAGAGCACTCTCTGGGCCAATGAGATTCCTGTGTTTGGCTTCAGTGAAAGGCATTTTCCCATGTGAACCTGTCACCATCCCAGCAATAATGCCAGTGCCCTTTAGACTAAGCTGGATGTCCACAGCTACTTCCTCCACTGTCTTTTTACCATTTAGAAGCAGCTCCAGGGTCGCTTTACTGATAATACCACAGTCACAGAGCTGGTGGGCTGTGACTTTGCGGCGTACCCCGTCAAATACAAGCTTTGATGGATCAATCGTCATGACCTTCTCATCTGTTTGGGTATGAATGTTAAGTGTAGCTGGTCTCTGTTTGAGTCTGAGAATCTCTCTCTCCAACTCTTGTCTCTTTTGAGCCAATTCAGATGCCTCCTTTTCTGAGATCATGAGACGACTCTTGTACCTCTCCTCCACAATATTCAGCTCCCTCATCAACCTCTCAATTTCATTCTTAAGGGACAGCCTCTCTCTGTCAGCCTTGTCTCTGTCTGACTCGCATTGTCTAATCTGGGTTTCTTTAAACTCGTATTGGCTTTTTATAGTGGTGAATTCTTTAAGAACAGAATTTTTTTCATCCTGCAAACGCTGTTTGCTGCGTATCTCTGTTTCTAGAGAGAGTTTGAGTCGAGCAAGCTCTTCTTCTAATCTCTGGTTACGGTTCTTGTCCTGTTCCAGTAGTTTAAGTCTGGAGAGCAAGCTATCTCTCTCCAGCTGTAGCTCACTGTATTTACTTTCGGACACGTGCACCAACTGGGAGGTCTGTGAAAAAATAAGAAAAGAGAGCATTATAATGTAAATAATTTGTATATACACATACATACATATACACATACATACATATATATATAAGAATATGTTGCACATTATTTTTTACATGTTACTAGACAGTTCAAGTTATGTTTAAATATCTGTGAATGTATTGAAATAAAACACACATCCAACCATACATGAAGAAAGATTTGTGAGTAAGGAAAAATTGTGCTCAATTAAAAAGACAATAACTCACTTATAATAGTTATACACAGCATCAAAGTACCACAAAATCAGAATCAATCATACAGCATATAGAACAAAACATGCAAGCAGAAAAGTAATCAATTAGTTTTATGAGTATATGATCCTTCAATGTGGTTGAAAATACCTCAATTGACTGCTTTTGGAATTTTTCTATTTCCATTTTAAGCTTTTCTCTCTCCTTGGTCAGGTCACTGATGAGAAACTGGAGCTCTGATGTCCTCTTGGAGCTAGTCTGAAGCTGGACATGCAAGGCTGATATCTGAGTGGCACTTTCTGCATCGATAGCATCTTTGCTATTTTTCAGTTCATCTCTCTCCTGTCGTACTGCCCTCAGCTCTTCCTCCACCCTCAGTCTCTCTTTGGTCAGGTTCTGTGTAAGAGTTTTCAGCTTTTCTATCTCAGTGTTGAAGTCATTGAGCTGGCGACTCTTCTCTTCGATTGTCTTATACAGGCTTTCATTGCGCTGGTTGAGCTCATGAACTCGCACCTGCTCTTGCTGGAGTTTTTGTTTCAGTGTTTTGAGCTCATTTGTCACAGCTGCCAGTTCTTCCTTGGTGGCTTTATGATCCCTTAGGCTCTTGTCCAGTTGCTCCTGGAGAGCCTTGATTTCCTGCTCATACTTCCTCCCAGTGTTTGTGACCTCTATCTGAACTGATTTCAGCGAGTTAATTGTGGTGGTATGCTCTCTGCACGTTCGTGTCATCCTCTCCAACTCTGATTCCATCCTCTTTCTACGGGTAAATTCCTCTTGTGTTGCCTTTTTTTGCTTTTCCATCTCAGCTTCCATCTCATCCAGAGAACACTGCAGTTCCCTGATACGGCTCTGGAGCCTAGCAGTACTCTGTTCAGCCTTGGCTTTCTCACTGGTCTGCTTTTCAAGCTCCACTCTGGTGATGTGGATCTCCTGTTCAGTCACTTTGAGCTTGTTAATTGTCTCAAGGTAAGAGTTGCTCTTTGACCTCAGTTCTGCCTCGGCTTGCTTCAGGTGATTGATTTCCAGTTCCAGAGCTCTTCTCTTTTTGCCCTCTTCCTCCAGGTTAAATGTTAGCACACTGATTTTCCTGGACTTTTCCTGATTTTCTTTTTTGGATTCCTTCAATTGCAGCTCATCTTCTTCTCTCTGCTGTTTGATAGTTCTCAACTGCTGTTCCAGCTCGGTACGAATCCTCGTCTCTTGAGTCACTGAGGCCATCTGCTGGCTGGCTTCCTGTTCTGCCTTGCTCTTCTGCATTTCTATAAGGGCAATGGATTGTCTCTGTCTTCTGAGCTCTTCTTCCAGATCTCTTTTCTCGGCAGTAAGCCGGTCTACTTGCAGCCTTAACTCTGCTGCATCTTCATCCCTCTGCTGGGACACTTTCTGAATGGTGGTCTTGGTGATGTGGATCTGTGTCTCATATGTCTGTTTGAGCTGACTTATCTCCTGGGTGCACTGTGTTCTTACCTTTGATATATCTGACTCTGCATTTCGCCGGCGTGTAGCTTCCTCCTCTAGCTGCATCTTCAGTCTTTCAATTTCACGTTCTTTGTCCTTCACCGACTTCTCTAGATCTATCTTTATCCAGCTAACCTCCTCCAGTTCTTTCTGCCTGCGACGGACTGCTGCCTCATACTCCTCCTGCTGGCTTGAGTAGCGCTCTTCCGCAAGCCGTCTTTTCCTCTTTTCCTCTTCAAGCTGATATTTAAGACGGGTCAGTTCCTCGTTAAGATGTTGAATCTGGCCCTGTGTGCTATCAAGGCTCTCTTTAGCAGCATTGACTTGCATTACTGTAGTTCTCTTCACTTCTTGCACTGATATGAGTTCATTTTTACACTGACTGAGTTCCAGCTTGTAGTTGGCCAACGTATCCTCAAGAGACCTATTTTTTTGTTTTTGATCTTGCAGTTCATCCTGGAGACGCCTCAGGTCCTCCTCTAACATCTCAATCCGGGTGTTTCTTAACTGAGAACACATTAAGCAGTAAGAACACAGTGAGATGTTTTCAAACATATTTGATCAGTTACATACAGTTACATTAACTTAAGTGAATCAGATGCTAACCTTCAGCTCTTCCATGTTTTTCAGCAAGTCACCCAGGAACTTGTAATAATCGCTGGAGCGGGTAAGCAGCTCGATGTAATGTTCCTGAAGTTCACCAGCCTGGGGATGGTAATTAGATTAAAATTACTACTGTTCAGTGCAGAACAATACTCATTTTCACAAATTTCTTAATAACTTGATTTTTCGTTTGGGAACAGACTTGATTTAGTACACAAGGTCTTTAAAACATAGCGACAGTTATCTATATTATTAAAAATCATCACAGAATAAATATGAAAAAAATAGCATATGATTATTTTAAAGATGTTGATGATTACCTCTTTTCTGACATAAGAGGCTGGAGACTGGAGCAATGTTCTCTTGATTGGGACATTAAGCAAAGTTTCCAGACCTGAACTGTAAGAAGCAAGCTGCAGCTCATAATCCTGAAAACACCAAAGGAAATGTTATTTACATCATACTTGTTAAGGACTTTTTCATCAAGATACATTTTGAGATGGAGCTAATGGATTACCTTTATGGAAGTAGCACAATTGTCAGCATTTCTCTGAACATCCTCAACTTTCTCCTTCTTGGCTTTGATCTCATTATGAAGAGCCTAGTTAAAAAGAACAACAAAAATTAAAAACATTCCATATAATTTCCCAGATTTTTAATACATATCTTTCTTCATTAGATGTGGAGGTTTGTGATTTTTTTTAAAGAATTCTTTAGACTTTATATTCTATACCAGGGTTCTGCAAACTTTAAAACCCAAAGATCTGTTTTGCCCCAAGCCTGGCTGATTAAAAGTTGTTAAGATCCGCAAATATTGAAGCTTTGTAAATTGATTAGGACCTTATAACTAAAACAAAAGTTATTATTATTTTATTATTCCTTTAATTATTTATTCCATTTATAAACAACTAAGAGTCTGTTGTATTTCAGCTTTTAACAAGGAAAATTGTGAAAAGTTTCATTAGGATGAATTTTTTTCTGTAGGATATTATTCATTGTACAAAAAAATTCCACATAACGTCCAACCTAACAATAAAAAATTCATTTCAATGTTATTCTATTGTGAAAGTTCAATCAAAACCCAATCAAATTTCTAAGACTGGTATGCCTCATTCTACAACATTAGTTGTTGCTTTTCATTTTAGGCCACTATTAAGAACCATTGCATTCTAAAAAAAAACATTTGCAGCTACAGATTGTAGACCTCTGTTCCATAAAAAAGTATATTTTAAATGCTCTAGATTAAAATGAGCATACTGATCTAAAGCTTTGTACACAAATGATCACTAATGCTTGACAGAATCAACATATTCAAAAGTCCTTGACCTGTTTATACCTCAGTCAAGATGGATCTGTGATTTATTTCTCCTTCTATTGGCATTTTAAACTCAACAGAAGGTTGTACTAGTTGTACTGTAGTTATACAAATTGGTTGAATTGTAAAGTGCCTTGAGATGAATGTGTTGTGAATTGCCCCTATATAAATAAACTGGATTGAATTGAAATAAACCTTACTATTTGTCATTAAAATTAAGTATGAGTAAGAATAGCTGTGGACAAAAGCACTTTTTCTTACTGAGTGTGCAATAACTGAGAATATAGCTGTAGGCTGTGGCTATCTTGATTTAGTCAGTAGGAAATACAAATTAAGAGCACAAAAATAGTATATTGCCTTATCAAATCAAATAATCAGACGGAATTACAGCTAAATAGCCTAAAATACCTCCTTTCACCTAAGCTTTTTTTAACCCAAAAAACAAAAACAGGAAACATTTCCTTTTAAAGTTTGTAATGATAAAAACAAATTTGTGAAAATATGGAAACGCATGCCTTTTGTTGGTTAAGATAGTCATTCAACATCTGGATATCAGTGAACTTGGCCGTTTGAAGGGTGTCCTGGCGTTTCCTGGTATTGTCTATCCAATGCTCCATGGAATTTCTGTCCTGCTGATATTGTGTTAACTGCTCCTTTTGTTTGTCCAGGTCCAGCATTCTGAAGCAGGAAGAGGAAGAGATTCTTTAGTGCTTTACCAGCAGTAACATTACATAAATGTAAGCACTGTACCTTACAATACCTGCTATCAATCTGGTTTTGAATGCGGCGCCAGCGGTCGCTCAGCTGGCCTACCAGTTCAGAGTACTTGGACAAATCCACATCACATCTGTGGAAAGACTCGGAAATCTGCGTGTTACAGTGCACTGCTTCAGCCATGTTGGACTCCATGGAAGTCAGCAGGTCCCGTCTCTGTTCAAGTTCGAGCTTCATGTTCTATAACGAAGATTCACACAATAAGTGCATTTGTGCTTCGTAGATTTTACAACTTAAACAGAAAATAAAAATGTTTGTATTTTTTGTGGTAATTGGCAATAAGCTTTTGAACTTATAATTGGCAAACTTAAATTTAAACCTTTATCAGTTTTAATTTATTATGATTTTTCTTTTACTGTTAACAATTGATATTATTATATTCAGACTTCAATGTAATATTAGCTAATTTATTAACTAATGATTTAAAAAAAGTCCCAAACCATTATTAGGTAGTAAGAGGGGTAAAAGTAGTATACTGCTTTTAATATATGACAATTTACCTTTAAGGTTAAAAGATGAAATTGTTATACTAATGATGAAAAGCAAGAATTTATTGTCATTTTTAGAAAACTAAATCCTATATGTCTAAAGAAATCCATTTGTTTTATATATATATATATATATATATATATATATATATATATATATATATATATATATATATATATATATATATATATATATATATATATATATATGTATATATATATATACACACATAGTGCCAGCTTTCAAAACCAATTTAAAAAAATAATATAATCCATGAGAATAACAATTTCTTGAAAAAGCCATATCATACCCTTAGAGCACTCCGGTGGTTTTCCAGTTCTTGAGGGTCTGTGGAACTGGTTTCCTTCTCTGTCAGTCTGGCCTCGTGAACTTTAATAATATCCTCAGCTTGGAGAAGGCTTTGGAGTAAAGCCTTTAGTGCAGTCAATCTGTACATTAAATCAGCAGGTAAAGAGATTAACCTAATTTTAGTTTCAGACTATATTTGTTTTCATTTTTACGCATGATAAAACAACAACACACACCTCTGAATGTAGATTGAGTAGAGATGCTGTAAGCCGCCCAATTTTTGGTTGATTATTTCCAGTTCTGAGCGGAGGAACTTGGCCTGCTCTGAGTCTGCAGGAACCCCCTTTAGCTGCTTTGTAATCATTTCTCTTAGGTGCATATACTCATTGTAAATTGACTCTAGATCTTGGTGTGCACCCTGGAAATCAACATAAATCAATATGTATTTATATTTGTATTTAAAACTCTTTCAAACATTCTTTGGTCAGTCCTATAAATGTGATTTAAATAAAAAAAAGTAGAATACCTCAAGATTCTGAATGTGCACTGAGCACTGGTGCACACCGTTTTCCCCCAGAGGAACATGGAGATGGTCAGTGATGCTGGATTCAGCTATTTCCAGCCTGCGACGTATTTCTTGCAGATTGGTGAGCAATGATAGGCTGATGACAGTGGTGGTTTTGGTTGGTTGTTTGGTGGGGACTTGGTCTTCTGGCTTTGGGGCTTCAGGCTTCCCTTTTTCCCCGTCTGTAGTGCAGGAGTTCAGAATTATAAATTAATAAAAGAGAAACTAAATAAAACTGATTTCAGTCTTATACTGAATTAATACATAAAAACAAACAGATGTGCTTTAAGTTGGGATCTCAAGGTTAATTAAGTTATTATTTTAAAAATTAGAGATGCACAAGTGTGCACAATGTCTCGTAAGCCATAGGTACTGTTTATGTGAATTCCCTTTTGCTACTCATCTTTGAAAAAAGAAAACTAAAAAAAATGAATACCACCCCTTCATAAAGCTAGAAAATGTGTACTTTCTTGAGTTTTTATGAATTTTACTGAAACAAAGTCCTAAATTGTTCTATAACAAAAAGTTCCCCCCAAAAGGTTCCCTAACTTATCATAACCAGATAAACAAAATGCATGCTTACGGTTGTTGGTTAGCTGAATGATCAATGTATCATAGTGCTCTTGAGCCTTGTCAAAGTGGCCCTGAATGGTTTTCTTATCCTCTTCCCCAAACAAATCAGAACCCTGGCTTGTGCGGAGGAACTCCTGGTAATGAGTCTCCAGTCTTTTGATGATGCTGCGGTACTCCTCAGGACGCATCTTCGACAGCTTAAAGATAAAACGTAGGCTTAGACTGAATGTGAAACATTTGAGCTATATAGCTAAAACAAAAACACTAAAAATACATTTGAATTCAGGTTTCATTCATGTTAAGGATTCCTCTGTGACGTCTTACCATGCTAAGGGTGAGGGAATTAATGTAGTTGACATCTTTGAGGCAATACTGCCAGGCGATGAGACTCTTGATGTTGATGAAGAGCTGATTCCAAAGGGCCATGATGGCCTCATAATACTGCTCATTTCTGCCAACAATATACACAGTCATTCATTGTACGTAATATAAACAACACTATATACCAGAACTTCTTAATCTGACAAAGCAAGAGAGCCTCAAACATTTGGTTCGAGCGAATATGAAGAATTAGTAAGATAAATCAACTGACTTCTGCTCCTTGGGCAGAAGTGTGTTAGGTTTTAGGAACAGTTAAACATCTGGATTACTTAATTGACAAAGACACAACGAATTGGAGATTCCAAGGAGGCCACTGCTTTGTACAGAACTTTAAAACAACCAACTCTTACTTCGAAGCAACTCCGATGCTAAGTGGATTTGGAGGTGGGATAACCAGGCACACTGAGGGAATCTGCATGTCCAGACCTCCAGGTCCTGTCACAAGCCATTTGGAGCGCTGAGAATTGTCTTTCAGAATACCCTCGTTCCCTTTCAATATACCTTTCTGAAAATATTCAAATAAAACACACACAAAAATAAAAAAACATGAGCACAGCTACATATACTTAACTGCTGTTACTGAGTATGTGAGTGATGGGGCTGGAAAATGAACATTTCCCACCTGGTCCTGCTTAAAGTCACACAAGGCTTCAACCATGATGGGGCTGGTGGATTTCTCCTCAGGGTTTCGAGGCTTAAGTCTGACGATGGACTTTGACTTGCTGACCAGACTGTGGACATGCCTCTTATTCTCCATGATCCGATCTTTCTCTTTCTGCAATGCAAAGTAGAAATTTTAACTTGGCTTCTTTACTCATCAACTTTGAGAGAAGAAAATCAGACCATGCTTTAAACTCCATCAGATAAATTCAGACTGTCTACCAAACACCAAATGCTGATATTAAATGCTTTATATCAAAAAGCTTTTTTTAATAAGCTAAATAGGCATACAAAATGCTAGAGAATACATATTTACCTCCAGATTTTTCAGAAGTTCCATTAGGTTCTCTAGACTAGTGTTCTTGTCACATATGAATTTGGTCCTGATGGTCTCATGTTGCTTCTGAAGCTTTGCATTGATTTCATTTGCCTCCTTAAAGAACTGAAAATTGACACACAAAAAAAGTTATTTTATGTGAAAATATACGGGGTAAGATTTTCATCCAAACAACACAAACATCTGAAGCCATACTTGGCTGTAAGCAGCGTTCTCCTTCAGATGAACTTGGATACATTTTGTGATCTGAAGAAGCCAGCTCCACTGCGTCTGCAGGGTGTCCATGTAGGCCTGTGGGGTGCAAAAAGTTAACTCAAAATATTACAGCTGTTTTGAGATATAGTATAGAATCAAACAAATGCTAAAAATAAAGGAGTCAATCTTACTTCAATTTTATCTGAGGCAGGATGGTTATTGCTCAGGAGACCAGATGTTTTCTGTTTCAGCTTGTTTAACTCCTTCTCCTTCTCCTCCAAGTCCCTCATTAGCTTCTGTTAGATAAACAGGGAGAAAGAATCCAAACAGTTAAACTAATAAAATACTATAAAACACAGGAAACCAATTTATAACTAACTAAAAGAAAATAACTCGGGGATTCTTACAGAGTAGCTCTCCTGCTTCTTGGGGATATAGCTGTCGATGTTTTTGTCTCCCCAGTCAAACACCAGCTCCTCCTCCTCTTTTTCATTCACCCACATGATGGCTCGAGAGACCTCGTCAATGATGAACTGAAGTTCAGTAAGTTGACTCTTGCGATTGTTGGACATTTTCTTTAAGAGAAAAATGAGAACTTTACTAATAGACATAAAAAAAGAAAAAGAAAGAAAAAGCTTAACATGATGCTAATTCTGCTAGAAGAGTCATGCTCTACCTGTAGGCTGTCCATTTCTTGTTCCAGGATGGTAAGGTGGTACTTATCGCCTATTGCCTTCTGGAAAGCAGTTCAAATTTTTGCTCAGGTTTGAGTTGCAAACATCACAGAGAAACGTACGTAACACACTTTTTTTGGTTTAACCAGTTTAAAACATTTTAATAAGCTGTTAGAGATTGTGCTTGGATGAGGGAGTTTTACTTTAGCTGTATATACGTCCACGACAGGCTAACTGGCCAAAAGAAGGCACATTTCTTTTCTCTTGCTTATAAAAAAGACACGTCTAGTTATCAAAATATTTATATTACCAAGAATGAAAACCCCAGTCAGTCTGAGCACCACTTATCACTTGAGCTGAGATCCCAGTTAACAAGCAGCATGTTTGTTAAGCAGCCGACTCAAGCCTCTACCAGAGAACACTGAGCCAATTAACCTGAGATAATAGCTTCTATTCTGTCCTCTAAAAAAGCATAATGGTAAAATGAACGATATGCTAAGAAAAATAATTAATTGCTTTTACTTATTCTTTCTTATTTACTTCAAAAGAACTAAATATTGATATTACAGCTTTGATATGTGATATATTGCCTTATTTTACCCACTGAGGCTTTTTACTTCTTTTACGAAGCCATGCCTAATTAACAGAAAGAATGTAAAGTAATGTAAAGTGATCAAAACAGGGTTAAAAAGTAGATAAATATACTTACCAGTTCCTCTCTGGCACGTGTTACTTCTGTGCTTCTTTGAATAGAGCTGTGGAATCTATTGTGGGCAACAATTTGCTCTCCTATGGCGTGGGAGTCGTCTCCAAACGGTGTTGTCTCAATGATCCGCTATCAGATTGAAAAACAAAATAAAACAATGATGTCAATAGTGATTTGCTTTTTCTTCTCAAATTTTTTGGACAAGAGATAATTTCCGTGAGAATAGTAGGGCTAGAGTTGGGGTAGGTTTGTATGAATACCATTATTCTCATTGAGGATTTCATATTATTGAATCTTAATTTTTTTATATATTTATATATATATATATATATATTTATATATATATATATATATATATATATATATATATATATATATATATATATATATTTATATATATATATATATATATTTTTTTTTTTATTTATTTATTTTTTTTTCACAATTTTGGTTTGCTTGCTCTGTCAGCTAAAGGCATGTTTTAGAGTCTCTATAGTTCAGTTAACAATTAATCGACTACTAAATTAGTTGACCATTATTTCAATAACCGATTAATCACAAATAATCCAATTAATTGTTTCAGCCCTAATTCAGATTCTTCTGTAGTCTCTGGATATCGCTTTTTACCCACTTGTCTTCTTTGTGTCATCCAAATTCGGTTAGTCTGTTTTTCTTTACTTATTCCATTATATTCTACCACAAACACCCCTTTCCTTTCTCTTGATCCCTTTTCGGTACTTAGCACTTACGAATCAAGCACAGTAGATAACTATTGGCACTTTCACTTAGTCTAAACCCAGATTATTTGTTCCACAAAGCTAAATTTAATGGTTGGCCCTGGAAAGGCTAAGATCAAAATGGACTGCTATGTGTACCTGCTTTTTTTTAATTATTATTATTATACAGTAACATATTTTTATTTACACAGTAAATTGGAGATCTAAGACAGTAAGTCACCAATAATATTCCGGTGTGGGGAAAATGCTGAGATCAAAACCTGTCAAGTATTTCTACTTAGAAGAAGAATCAGATAAAAATGACGGCAGTGTAAAGTAAATTTTTATTTTATCTAAAAATAGATTTTCCTAAAATGTTTAAACACAACATTCTCTGTACAGAATATCCCACTAAATAAGTCTTGATAATATAACTTTAACATGTTCACTACAAAAACAATAAAGAAATAAGTAAAAATGTCTGAAATTCAGTGTATCTAGCCTCAATTTGTGTAGGTAAATGAGATAATTTGCCAATGGAATGAGCATTTCTACTCTTAAACTAAGATAATTAGATAATATGCACTTGAAATAAGACAATACAATTGTTTTTTCTTATTTTAAATGTAAATTGTCTGGTTTGATTGGCATTTACCTCCTCAGTGCAAGACAAAAAACACTTACTTTAAGAAAAAATAACCTTACAAAGATTTACATTTTTTGCAGTGTTGCTGATTGGAGTTTCTTAGATGTGTATTTATACAAATAAAGGGGAACTTATCAGTGCAGGTCAAACCGAATACTAGCACTTTCATGCTTCTTCTTTTACCTTTTTTACCCTCTAGGTGTCAGCAAACTATCATTCATTTATTTAAAGCAGGAAACTATTTCAACAATGCCCTCCTTGTACACAGCCCTCAGCTTTGATAGGAGTTCATCCAGCAAACAACCTTAGCCCGTCCCTGTTCTGTTCTCTGCCTTTTTTTTCACCCTTCCCTCTCAAGGTTTTTGTTCCCTAACCACTCCCTTTTTCCCTTGTGAATACATGCCCAAAGCAAGACAAGCCCAACTTTTAACAACAAAGACAACTTGTGGAATGTGAAATATCAGCGATGTTACCCTCCGACAACAACGAACAGTGCATCTGAAAAGCTATTTGTCTGCTGTGAACTACAGGAATACAGGCTAAAAAACAACAACAAAAAAACCAAAAAAAAACAAAACATGTTAGATATCTGGTTAGTGGAGGAATGCGTGTGGTTAGATTCAGAGGGGTGAGGCGGTAAGTGGTGACAGAATGACAGGGTGTGTTGTTGAGAAGGTGGAGCAACGACGAGTACGAGAACAGAGAGGCGTTTTCCCATGAGCATACTACAGGTCAAATAGGTCACCCGGGTTCTTACGAACTGACTCAGAGGACAGTGCAACATATCACACTTCTACACTCCCCCTTTCTCCTCTACTTCCATGACTCCTTTATTTTCAGCACTGTTTTTATCAAAGATCTTTATGAGCTTTCTGGTAAAACAGAACTCTCCTTTTTTCTCTCTCTGCTCCTTTGTTTCAGCCCATCAGGATCTCTTAGCCTCTTTCATTCATGGATCAGGTTTTGGCAGCGAGTCGAGATGGTTTCAGTTACCGTAGGGTTGGATAGGTGACAGGGGAACTTTATCACTCTGCCTTAGACTCCAGAAACAAAAACTATTTAAACTTGTTTTCTGGCTTTTTATTCACATGTCCTAGAAGGGCATTTGTATTTATCCACCATGGATTTATAATATAAGAACTGATTTTTCCAGTAAAAAAAATAGAAGCTATTTTTTGCATCCTTTAGAAATTGTCAACAAATGTTTAAAAAAAATAATAATAAGGTAAACTTTCACACTGAGGAACTCACCTTCTGCTGGTTAATCCAGCTGATGGCGTCATTCAACAACCTCCCACCATCACTGCCAACACTGCCTCTGTTACCCTTCATAGTCCCATATCCGGCCATTTTCTGTTTGATGGAGTTAAACCTATGTTGCAGCATTTCACATCTGTGGATATGTAAAATGTTATCAGACACAAATCAGAAAATCTTTGAATCCTATCTAAAAACTATAGATAATGTGTTTGATCTTACTCTCTTGGAGCATCAGACGGTATACGCATCTCCATCAGATCTCTGCAAATAATATTCAGCCTTTGAAGGCTTTCTCCAGCCATTAGTATGAATCTCTCTGCGTCAATCATTGAACCTCCCTAAAAGAAAATCACACAATGTCTATTTCTCTGCAAAAATGATGTTCCTAAAATGCTAGATCTTTCTGATTCTAACAATTTATTAGATTAAACAGTCATCTTCTGTTTAGATCTCTTTGGAAAAACATAGCTTTAACAAGTAGAGCTTTACATCATTTCAGTTCTGTAGAGAGTATATGTGTTATACTTACAGAGGTCAGAATAATATTAGCCTTCTCCAAATACTCATGACTTTGGCCTACCAGGATACCAGCTTTTTGCTGAAGCACCATCGGGCTGAACATAGGAAGAAGGACAACAGACTGCTATAAGTCAAATAAATTAATCTATCAGTTGTAGAAAAATTTGCTTAAAATATAGTCAACAAGTTGCTAAACTCCATCTAGCTTCAAACAAATCAAAAACCATTGGGGTCAAAGTAAAAAAAAAAAAAAAGATAAGTAAAATAAGTTGACACACTTGCATCGATAAAGACCATTGCATGGTTTTAAGTATATGTTTATATATTGCAGCCTAAATAAGGTTTTTATTGTGCCTATATTTAAAGAAAAATCAATAATTAAATCAGTTAATAAAAATAAAAAAGCTTTCACATAAGCTGACATCATTCTTAGTGACGGCGTTGGGAAGACATTCAAAGTGGGTGTGTTTAACTATTACTTTTGTTTTCTGATTGTGCAACAAATCAAGAAAATGCAATAAAATTACACCTTTATGTGCGTTTACTTACAGAAACAACTGCTAATAAAATGGACATAATTATCCAAACATGGATATTTTAATTTTATTGAAATTCATTGAACCTATTTGTACTAAAACTAGTTTTAGACGTTTTGCATCACAGCCTCTTTAAGGTAAAATGTGTGAAGAAGTTAGGAACTTTATTACCAAGCGTCCTATAACAGGATATTGTGTGTGGGGCCCTTACCTTACTGCACCAGGTCCGAGGGTCCCTTGGGACACCTTTATGGTGCCACCGCCTCCGCCGTACATGGAGGACTTGGTGTGGGTCTGGTAGGAGTATCCTGGCTCCATTTGCTGGAACTCTGCCTGGTAGCCGTTTCCAGTCATGAACACGTCGTTTCTGAAAGAATTCAAGTCGGTGCGAGAGTTATTCCTCGGCCCCAAAGAGGCCAGTCTAGGGTCAGAGCCATAATGACTCATTTTGTCCCGAGTTGTTGTTGCTTTTTTCCCTGCTTTAATATATATATCTGTATATATTTGTTGTTGTTGCTTCTTTTCCTTATTGTTTCTGCTCTTGCTGTCCGGACAGCGGACCCACTGCGCGCTTTTCTCCGCCCCGTCTCCTGCCCTGTTGCGCAGATAATGCCGCTCTGTGAATAGACGGAAATAAGCTGCTTTTTGGACTGAAACCACACCTTGCTGAGTTTACGAAACAGCACGACGAGTGTGGGAAAGGTTTGTCTAGTCACCTTGTTCAGCTAAATGGTTTTATAGAGCAACGCCCTTCCTAAAGTGAACAGAATGTCATGTCTGGTTTAATTAAGTATTTATGTGACATTTCAAACGGGGGAATTTGGGATATTGTTACAGATGCACCAGGTTAGGCTATTCCTGGCCACGCCTTTCTCCAGTTTTCCTTTTTGTTTGTTTAGTGTACTGAAGCAGAATCGATCAGAAAACAATGAAACAAGTTGAATATTGTGCATTAAAGTTACCCAAATACGCGCACGAACCTGTTCCCTTAGAAATGAATATGCAACACTGCTGGATCACCACTTTAAACTCCTGTCATACCTCCTGTCTCTATAGAAAATGCTTAACTGTACGACCTACTGAGATCTGACAGATATATCAGTGGAACTATGCATGGCTGCAGATGTGATGTTGATGATTATAAGGGAAAGAAAGTTGTTGTAAATCAAAAAAGGTCAATCATGCACGATTATTCCTTAAAATATAGTGCTAAAACTGTAGCAGGTGCTTCTCTAATAAAGATAAAACACATTCAGACTGATAACCAGAGATTTCCTTAAAATTTTTGCATAAGAAAGGCTTTTGTCTAAAGTGATATGGTTATCCTAAACTAAAAAATCTAATGCTACTGTTTTGTCATTCACTTAATCATGTTTAGTCATGTTAGCTGGGTAGGACATAAAACAATTCTGTTAAAGTAACTAAATATAATTAAATAAATGCCAAAAATGGCTGCATTAGTTTTTTCAGTGTACAGTGTGAACTCAGCTAAGCCTTTATCTTAATAATTTTAATCTCGATAGAGCACATAAGAGTATATGCTGTTGATGTGTTTATGTACCAACAATCAAAGAAGTGTTTTAGTCTAAATACATTTACATTTAATGAAAATGTGCAGGGCGAAAATAGTTTTTCTGTATGCAGCATTTTGAATTGCACCTTTCAGAGATTTAAATAAGCTAAAAATAGTATGAAATGTATTAAAAGAATAACAGATAAATAAAATATTATAGATACAGAACAAAATAAAGTTTTGAATATAAAATATAAAGAAACTAAAAGAAGAGTATTTTTTCAGGAAAAATGTATAAATTAGGCAGATTATATTCTCTTGCCAACTGTTTGATATTATCTATGTTACTGTGAATTGTGCAAGCTTTTGGCCACAACTGAAAACAAATACAAAAAAGGGTAAGTGGAGATAATATACTCATAATTATACATATGTGTACCACACCAAAGAGGTACAAAAGTAGATTTTGTCATTTAGAATGTCTTTTTTTTATTATATGATAGAATTGAATGAAATAGAACAAAGTACAATAGAATGGAATAAAATATCCTTTATTTTCCAACAGTGGGAAAACTATGCTATGCTATGCAAATAAGTAAATGAAAGCAAGCATGTACACAAAATACTATTAAAACAAGTAAAAGAGAGAAAAAGGTTTAAATTTAGTGTGAAGCAAAGGAAAAGCCCACATTTCAGCGGTTAAAAATGGCAACCTCCCCTGTCCTTTGTACATATCTCACTGTTTTTCTTTATCATTTATTTATTTTTTCCATTTTTCTAATATGGAAAGAATCTGTTAAAATAATTATTGACTCAAGCTTTTGGCAATGTTTAGCCACAGTGGAGTGAGAGGCAAAAAATACTTTAACCCACAAGAAATCTTTCACCTGAAGTTCAACATTCTTGAGGTTGGAAGAAGTTTGCACACCAGTACAAGCAGTAGTGTTTAAACAGTGTGAAAAGTGAAAGAGTGTGAGAAACACAGGAGACAGTAAAGGGTGGGTCATGGATGCACGCCTTTAGTCACTGTGAGCAAATATTTCAAAAACTGCTGATAAGAGTTATTTCTAAATAGCTACTTGCATTATCTTATCTGTCTATGTAGTAAAAGTAATATGATTATTCTGATAAAAAAGTAAGGAAAAAAAAGAAAAAAATAAGGAAATTTTGATCTGGTTTGTTAGTCAGTCTCAGGTGAAGAAGAAAATTAAGTGTTGAGTTTGCAGAAATGCTGGCCCCTCTGGCCCTTATTGAAAGTGTTTAGGAAATGTCAATGTGTCAGGTTAAATAAAACACTTTGGATAATATATGATACATGAACAAGGAGCATAATTTGGGAAAAGAATCTATTTTCTGAAAAGGAAAACAACTGCAAGTCAAAGTCAAGTCATCTTATTTATAAGTAGTCTTTCTGAAAGGAGCTGTTTAGAAAGACAGGACACAGAATCTTAAAAAAGCAATATAGAGCCGTGTAGAACAGATGCAGCAGAGAGAAAGAGAGGGGCATGTTGTCAGTAAATATGGAAACCCCAACCCAAGAACCGACATTCCAACCTTTTGGAATTCAAGACTCTTAAATCATCTGCCTCAGTTATCTTTTGCAAATTGTGTTTTTTTTTATAAATGTAAACCTCGATTGACAACAGTGCCAAACAGTGTCTCTTTAAGAATATAACTTTGCACAATATAGTTTCTTGAAAAGGTATTCCCGGAGTCAAACCGAGTCACACCCAACATGCCTAAGAGGTTTTGCTTTATCTTACAGTTTAACAAACTTTCTGTCAACAAAGATCCTGCAAGAACAAACTTGTGTAACTTACCAACCCAGTAAATTACAAAAACCAGTCAGAGTGGGGTGGGTGGAGTATGGGGGTAGGAGGGAGACCATTGGGGTGTGGGGGGGTTGTCCTTCACTACAGTAAAAGAAAGAAATCCTATTATTGGCCCTCATTAAACTAAAATAGAGAAAATGTTAAATCTTTGCTTTGATTGTCTAAACTTTTTTTGTGCATTTCAACTTCAGGTTTGTATGGGATGTTTGGAAGGGAAAGTAAAATCCCAGTCAAATCGTTTTAGTATGGTTAATATTTTACACGCTGTTTGCTCTTGCTAAAACCCGTGTTTACTTCCTCCTACATTAAGAGGAGGTTTGCTAGAAAGGTTACAATCCTATCAACACATTTGCAATGACTTATCTCAGAAAATAAAAGAACAGAATATGGAATCTGCAGCAGCGCTAAGCTGCCAATGTTTGAACACCATCAAGCTGGTTGAATCCTGATGACACATATGAACTAATTTCCAGACACTGATACTGACATCATGCACTGAGAACACAGGGTTAGAGGGGGTCATACATCATGACAGCTGTTTTAACAGACACACTGCAGGCACTTCACATCATCGTGCTTATTAATGTAGTATTACAAAACAAACTGGGATGACTTGTTGAAAGGGTTAGCACTACCCAACTTATTTTCCTGAGAAATTATTATTATAAATGTGCAAGAAGCCAATTAGTGCAGGATGTGAATTCCTCTTCAGGTCAATAAACTCTTTTTGCAATGGAAAATAAGCTGAAATATTTTGATAAGGATTGAAGGAGTCTGAGAAAACAAAAAAAGAATGCTGGAAGCTTTATAATAATGTCAATAAAACTGAGATAAAGACACAGTTTGTCGTAGAAATTTTCAACATTGAACTTTGGATGCCTTAACTGGTGGACAACGAAGGACTGCTTTTCTTCTAACAAACCTGTAGGCATATTTTGGCCTCACTCCCTCATTCCTCCAATATCTTATCAGTAAGAAGAAGAAGCAACCGTCTTTTTTATTGTGTATGTCATTATTTTTTGTGTCTTTGTCTGCATTAAATCCTCAGAACAAAGGCACAACCCATGAGTTTATTGTTGCCTTTATCCAAGTTGATACCATGACCACGGTAATAAACCATGGATTTTACTATCTGTCGAACTTTTGAACTCAACTCCACAATGTGATAACCTTGATTTTCAGAGACAGGAGTACTTATTATTCCACTGCATGGTTCCATAAAAAGATTTCATGTGATTTTTTTATATATAAGATTGGACTTTTTTTTCTCATCGCAATGGAAGGTGCAGATTCTGATTCACAACTTTAGCTGCAATTTTTCTTTTCCCTTCTCAGAGTTGTGGATTACTCACTGCATCCGTGAAAGGGCTATGAATGTTGTTTCTTGTAAAAAAAAATGTGTAACCAGTCAATTTATGACACTGAAACAGACAGATAGAATAACATGTTAATGACTCTGGCAGCCCATATGCGCAGTATTATGACTCATACCATTGTTTGAGGGCGGATCCTTGACACACCTGTATGAGTTGCTAGGCAGTGCAATTAGAAAGTCTAAATGATAAAAAAAAAACACAGTGTGTTAATCTGACAGTACAACGGTCAAGCTTTTTTGCAAGCATGCACAATTCTTTGCCAATGACAAAGAGTCACACCATACATAGGTGTTATGTAACAGATAGTATTACTTGGAATAATATTTTATTTTGCAGAAAAAGTTGATCATTTATTTGTAAGAACACTTTCTATGTATCAATAAAAAAAGATTAATTAGAAAACCAACAACATTATCTACTTACCAAAGTGGTAAAACAAGAAAGCACAAAATTACTCTAGAGGGCTGAACAATGGTCATGAAGCAGTTATGTTACTTACCAGCAGGGGTCATTAGAGTAAAACAAAACACAAAATATTGGATGATTGATTTTATACTGATATATTAATTTACATACCAACATTAATACAAACCTTTTTCTTATCTCAGCATTCTTCCACAACATTTTGGAAGTAAAGCATCAATTTTAGATAAAAAATGTCTTGGCTTAATGACTTCTTCTACTTTATTCAAAATGTGTTCTATCAAATTCTACTTTTAAGCAGTAGCATTCTTCTAAACCAAACTCTATCATCCAAGTTTGTGGGGTTAAGTCATGTTGGAACAAATAGGTGGAAACCCCAATGTGTTCCCACGGATTTGAGACAATTAGGTTGTCCAAGATGTGGTTGTTTGGTGAAGCATTAAGATGTTATTTTAATGATACTATGAATTGGAGCCCAATCCTGAAACTCAGCCCATGCCATAATCCCCTCTGGACCAAAGTTCACACGTGATACAATGCAGTCAAGCAG